CAGGGTAAATGGGTCTCCAAAAGAGACAAAATGATGAACGGATGAAGGAATCAGATCTTATTACACTTGGCTACTGCCGGCAAGGAGGGGACTTAATTGCTACCTGTAACAACACAAATGACGGAGTTGCCCAGACAAAGGTATTCTGTGATGAAGCACGCGTGAGCTTCCCTGTGGCCGCGCCGAGGAGTCCCCTACTGGCAGACTCGGTTACCTTACCACCAATGGAAAGCCTTAAGCGCATACTGGACATCCATGAGTCCCAATGGCCTATTCCCTTAAAACTCATATCCTATTAATAGGTATACACTTAAATTCATCTTCACTTCTTCACACTCACTCTTGTATTACTCTTCTGACTACTCCAACCATAACTTCCCTTACACCATTATTATCATTACCGATACATATGCATGCATCAGCTTTAAATTTCATTAGCCACCTTATTTACGTTTTCTTTATTTTTCTTTTGTTTCAAGTTTAAATAACCTACAATAGTACTGTCTGTTTTCATCACTATTGTTATCTTTATTTTCAACTAAAGCGAATTATTAACGGCTGAAAGGACCAACTGCACCGACAGTAAGGACACGGACTCAACACACCGCATACTAAGAGCAAACCGAGAACCACTACTTTTAGAGACAACCAAGGCCACGGAAGTGGAGTGAAGGAGCGAACTACGCACAAATCTACTGAAAACCAGGAACCTTCTCCTGAAAACCACGAATTGAGCACAAAGAAATCAAGCTGCTCTATACGCACTTGTGAAGCCGAAATTGGAAATTGAAACTTTTTCAGTGGTGCAATAAGCAGCGGGAAGTAGAAATTGCGCGCACGTGCAACAGAGGCAATGGATAAAGGCACACACGGGGTGTCGTTATGTGTTATCGCGATGTTGTGTTCGGGTTGTTCTACGTTGTTTTCCGGTGTTTTTTCAACTGAAATACATTATAAATACCATATTTTAACGAAAAAATTTAGAAAAATGGTGGAAAGTAGACACTTTCAGCAGTTTGAGTGAACATGGATCTGTCATTGAATTTCGTTATTTCTTTCCATGTGGAATGTTAAAACTCTGTGTAAATTGTTGATTACGTTAAGGAAAACGAAATCAATTAGGAAATTGATGCATATTTTGCGAAATTCTGAAAGGGTGTTTTGAATCTCTGAGATATGAAAACTTGGTAACACTCAGAAGAGTCTACAGCTATAAAGGAGTGTTAGTTGATTTATTCGCAAGATAACAGTTAATAAACAAATTTTTTTAAATAGTTACTTTGGTTTGGAGTATTTTCGTGTTGCTAATTATTTGTTAAAGGATGTCATACTATTGTTGATTTGCAGGTTACAATTGTAATTTACGGAGTGATTCACTTTATTTGGAGGCTTTAATGAAGTGCAATTGAAGAATTTGCGCGTTATCGTTGGAATCTTTGTGATATGATAAAATTATTTATCAAAATAAATATCTTTTTAATGTTTTAACGGTGTTCTTTAAAGAATTCACTACTACTTCCCTTTGCTTGTCGAAGGAATAGTGATGTAGCCGGTTTTGGAATGCGTAGTGATTTAATCTGAAAGAGTGATAATTTACGCAACATAAGAATACTAGGATTTTCTTCAATAGGATATACCTATAACGCGTTATTTTCGATGTACGTAGCCGCCCTACATTTGTTATTATGTATACGTAGTAATCGCAAAACAAACCTAAGCTCAACGTACATTTTTTCGCAAGCCCTGATGAAAGATAATCTTTTACGCAGCCGTATTGAGTGTAACTGAAACATTTCATGGGAGGCTTGATGACGCACTGAGGAAATAATAACGGTTTACGATTATCACGCATTTCACACAAGTATTACTACGTTGCCTATCAACTTCGTTAACTATGCAATGTCCTCGGAATGATAATTAAGAGAGATACATGTAGTCAACATAAATGCATATATTTACAAAATAAAAACAGTTAAACAGTACATATTCATATTAAAAAGGGTGGAAAAAAATCACAGTTGTAGATTCTTTATGGGTACATGATTGTCAAATTAAAGTCCACTAATCGTCCTATCCACAATATGTGGATCAGTTTCCCTTAGATGATTGTGACACTGGACCAGTCTTTACAGCTTTCAGCACCACCTGATCCTTCAGAAGAAACTGGTTATGACCTTTCCATGCAAAGATTGAGATTGTATTCCTTTGACCACCTCCGGCCACACTGAGAAATATCTAAGGATATATACATATCAGATGAATTAATCTTACCTCAGGTGAACAATCCCTAATCTTAGCAACAATGAATATGTGAACAAGGGAGGGAACAATAGTAGAATCGGTATGAACAGTCCATATATCCCATAATAAACTTAAAGAATCCTAGAACTTCCGATTTATCTTTCACAGTTTGTTTTCTGCAAAATGCAAATGTTACACAAATGCCTCTCCTCTCTGTCCGTTACAATCAACTGAAAAAGACTAAATCTTCAAACTTTATACTTCTTTGATTAAGTTACCCAATAATATTCTCTTTTTTAGTGGGTCCACATGCATATCACATCTGTAGAATCAATACATGCGTTAACTTGTGTCCTTAAGCTGAAAAAATGTAATGTTTATGCGACTTTTATTACTATCATTTCAAAGCCCGCCTTAGTAACGTGAGCTACGTATTAGCCGCAGCGTTTACGCAAAGTAAAATCTACCAATCACAGTATGCATATGTGACCTTGAGGTGCTCAGCCTCTCCATAAGGTCGTGTGTGCCTTTATCCATTGCCTGCAACAGACAATCACGCACAGTAACAGACGGAGAAGGAAAAACGCGGAGTGCCGTAAAAGACGTGTATGGTGATTAAACAAGATTTTCAGTGTGCGGGTACAAGTTACTTGTCATCCGTTAGAACAAGTCCGGCTAAACGATCCTCTTCTTGCTCCAGTGAGTTTACACAAGCATTCGTTTCATTTCCCGAGGACGGTTGTGGCCACACTTCCGAGCCTTCTTTCCGTAACGTTGGCAATAATAGCAAAGGCTGGAGGTGGTATCTGCATTTGGGCGCCTCTGGGACCCTGATGTGTTGCGAGGAACGGTGGTAAGTGCAGCTGCAGTCGATGCCGTTGGATTGGGCAGAGGGGACTGTTGGCTGATGCTACAGTATCTCGCTCGGCGTCCATAAACCGCAGAATGATACGCTGTAGTTCCGTTGTGCTCGTGAGAGCGTGTCGCAGTAGGTCCGTTCGGAGGTCGCCGGGCAAGAACACTTCGATGAAACGTGTCCTCACCAGGCGGTCTCTGTGGTTGGAGTCTGCGTTATCGTCTACGCCAGCTGCCATTAGTTTTAGGGCATGAAAGTAAGTATGTATCTGAATGAGACATGTTCTGTACATACATATTGTGAACGGGCCCTAAATGAACGGAATGAGCGTGGCATTGTGACGGAAGTTTCAAGATGTACTGGAAGGGATAATCCAGATATTACTGGCTTAACAAAACGATTTGAGTCACTCACTGCCAAGTGTGAACAACACGAAGCAGCTATTGCAAGCGTTACTCGTGAGCGAGATCTGTGCTTCAACAAGAATTTGCCATGACTGAAAACTGGCAAATCCTTGACAACTGCTTCGACCTCAAATGGGGCTCCGACCATGCCTTACTAAAATTCTTCAGTCGTAGACAACTACCCATGGAACATCCCCTAGATTACTTTCATGCCCTACAACTAATGGCAGCTGGCGTAGACGATAACGCAGACTCCAACCACAGAGACCGCCTGGTGAGGACACGTTTCATCGAAGTGTTCTTGCCCGGCGACCTCCGAACGGACCTACTGCGACACGCTCTCACGAGCACAACGGAACTACAGCGTATCATTCTGCGGTTTATGGACGCCGAGCGAGATACTGTAGCATCAGCCAACAGTCCCCTCTGCCCAATCCAACGGCATCGACTGCAGCTGCACTTACCACCGTTCCTCGCAACACATCAGGGTCCCAGAGGCGCCCAAATGCAGATACCACCTCCAGCCTTTGCTATTATTGCCAACGTTACGGAAAGAAGGCTCGGAAGTGTGGCCACAACCGTCCTCGGGGAAATGAAACGAATGCTTGTGTAAACTCACTGGAGCAAGAAGAGGATCGTTTAGCCGGACTTGTTCTAACGGATGACAAGTAACTTGTACCCGCACACTGAAAATCTTGTTTAATCACCATACACGTCTTTTACGGCACTCCGCGTTTTTCCTTCTCCGTCTGTTACTGTGCGTGATTGTCTGTTACACATGCTGTCCATACGTGTAAGCGGATGTATGTCGGTGTTTCACATTTCCATGCATAAACCCACTCTCGAGTCTTTCTACCACCTCGAGACTCTCTGGTAATGAATGCTTAACAACTGGCACGACGTTGATGAATGGTTTCTGTTTGACATAGCTGGCAATTACGTCTACATTTATACTAAAGTGAAGATACAGCTATTTCCTCCAAGCCGGCATGTTAAATCCCGATAACTGCTCACAGGTATGTCTCGCTCTCTTTTTTAATACGATGACTTATTTTTCGTCTCTGATATTTTATGAGGAGACCTCTGTCTGAGTTTCTAAAATTTACTGTCTTAATACATTTTAACGAAGTCTGTCCTGTTTTTCAGGTTCTTTGGCGGAAAATATTTGTGATGCATTGCGTGGACACACTGAGACTTATGAAGTCCGTTCGTATGTGTGAGAGTGTATGATGCGCCTCGAGAGTCTTCGTGCAAGGAGAGAAAACAGAACATCGGTTATGGTTTATTCACACAAGTCTTGGACCCACTACATTCTCTCCATTGCTGATCTGTTGCAATAGTTGTTGTTCGTATCTTTTGGAGCATGTTGAGAAATCACAAACTCCCAACTAGCTTATCAAGCCCACAGTAAAACAGAATCTTTGAAACTGTCAACGTTTTGAGTATATTGCTAGTCTGGTGGACAATGGATCAAATCTTCTGCTCATTTCACTTCTTAGCAGATGTTAGTGATATGATATTCCTGTTGGAAACTAACTACTCTGGTGAGAGTGCCTTGTGTTTGACAAAGCTGTCAATTTCGCCTACAACTATGGAGAAGCAAAGACGCGGTTATTTCTCCTTGAACCAGGCTGTTGAATGCTGTTATCTACAGACAGGTATGTCTCGCACTGTTTCAACATGATGACTTATTTTTCGTCTCCGATATTTAATGAGGAGATCTGTGTCTGAATTTTGAATATATATGCAGCGTTAATGTATTCTAACGAAGAGGGATTTCCTTTTCAGGTTGTTCTTTTGGTGGAAAATGGAGGTAGTGGTGCATTGCGTATGCATTGGGACTGAGGAACTCCGTATGTATTTCTACGGGCACACAATATGAAACTTAAATAAATATGTTGATTTGAAAATGATGTCTTTTTTTCTTTATACATTTCTCGTTTTTCGGTCGTCGTCACTTTTGTGTTGAAGATTGTGAGTCAGTTTACTGAAGTATCGCCGTTAAAGTCATCTCACTCTGCCAAAGTAATGCTCGTTTCAGCTAAACAGTAGGATTATGACGTTGTAAGTATTGTGGTTTTCCTAGCTATAGTATACTGAATAAGGGTTTATGATTATGTGGATCAACTCGCCGTCGTAGATGTCATCATCAGATACTCTGGTAATGCAGTCTTTTTCTCAACTAACGGATTATGAATTATCTAAAGCAGGCAAGCTTGTCGGTTGTATGCTTCAAGATTTCTTTTACTGTATGCGTTCGCATTACTGTAGAATACTGCCCGTCTATTCTAATCAGGTTCACTTATCGGTAATTAAAAAAGAGAAGAAAAGCTTCATGCTGTCCAACTGTTATGTAACTGGCAGCACTACTGTTCGACCCGATACAACTTGTGTCACTTCGCTTGCTGTAGTTTATGAGGATGCATTGTTCGAAATCCATGAAGAGACAAATGTATACTAGATACAGCTGTGTTTTCCGATATGTAGCGGACACAACTGAAGTTAGAGTTAAGTTTCGTCAATTTTTTCGGAAAAGTTGTATGAGATTTGTTCGCGCATACTTTTCTTATCGGTCTTAACGTTGTAAGCAAATGAGTCATAAGGGATTGGATGCGCCCCACTGCAGTCCTTACAAAAAGATTTTATCTCAGTAAGGTACGCTTTAGGAGGATGCACGGTATCCTGACTGTGTAGGCCTATCAGAATGTAGGATTCGAATGAGAGAAGTACATGGGTTTAAGAAATACTCTTTAAATAATATACAAGTTAATAATTCCCATTGTAGCATTAAGAACATAATATTCAGCGAAGAGACTCTTCAACAATGCATAACTTCTTTTAACAACTGTTTGTGACAACTCATCACCTTTGTTACTACCCTAGCACTTAATGGTCTTGACTTATATTACCAACCTTTACCTGTTTAGTTAAAATAACCTTAAGCAATTATAATTCTTGTATCCACTTAGATCTCTTACATAGTTTCGCATTATCTACTTTGTTTCTATGTGCATCCTGAGTAAAACTCACTATTATTATTACAACTGTTTGTGACAACTCATCATTTTTTTACTACCCTAGTTTCATTAGCACTTAATTTTCTTGACCTGTATTACCATCCTCCACTTGTTTAGTTAAAAGTAACCTTAACCAATTGTAACTTTGTTTGACAAACTTAATGTACACATACATACAAAACAATGCATATATATTTGCGATTGTACAGCTAAGAAAATGAATTCGCCGAAAAGAGACTCTTCGCTGATCTACGTGTTTTGTTTTCATTAATGCCTGGATGGGGATTATCCATGAAATGAATTTATTATCAAGCTGTACAATCGTATACATATATATGGTTTTTAAGAAATAAGATCAAAGGTGTGAATACATGAAATAATAATAGTAGTAATATAGAATATTTGTGATGATAATCGTAGTAAAATGTCAAGTGGCAAAACAATTCTTGTATAGATGTTGAAAAGGGCTGCATAATTAAAGGATTAGTAGGCGAATATAAAATTTTACATAACATGGTGTCAAGTTTGATAAGACAGAAAACGGTTACTCGAACGTTCTTATTGACAGTAATACGAAAGATAAGTAGTCTAAACTGAGCGCCGACTCAGTTCCAAAGAACACCTTTTTCATGAGCTTGAAATTCAAAGGTGATCAAGCTTCAGATATGTCTGAAAGCCATCTCTCTAAATCAGTCCGTAAGACGTTCTTTGCAGCAAAATTACAAATGATGTTCACCAGCTGCTAGTTGTTCTCCATCTCTGTAAAAGATAAGCTCCCTGGCTGGCCGCCTCCACGTGCATCTATCAGTTCACCTGCTCTTGTGGAGCAAAATACATTGGCCGTAGCTTTCCACACGGATACGAGAACACATTCAAGCATGGTTTTACAAGGGAGTGCGTGCGAAGCTCTACTCTAGAACACCTGATCAACTCATGTCACTGCCAACCCTGATTACGATTTTAAGCTCATCTATGCTAACTTGCCGAGTTTCCTTCGTTACAGACTTCTAAAGACAGCGGAGGCCTTGGCCACTCACGACTTTAAGCCAGACCTTTGTACACAAAAGAAGTATATACGATCCCTACTTCTGCCTTGGCCGTAAAGGGATAGCCATTTGTTTATTTAGTTTTTCTATGTACGTTTCCCTTATTACTACAATTATTATTACTATTCTCACTCTGAATTGTTCCCACTTGTCATTCCAAATCCGAAAATTGTTTTTACAATATCGAATTCTATCTTATCAAATCCCACACCATGTTATGTAACATTTTATCTTCGCCTACTAATCCGTTAATTATGCACCCCTTCCCAACAACATCTATACACCTTATGTATTATTCTATATATTACACGAATTGTCTTGCTACTTGACATTTGAATATGATTACAATCACAAATATCTTAGTTGAGTTTCATACTATTCTTATTTCATGTATTCACACCTTTGATCTAATTCCATCACTGGATATAATTCCTTAGAAGCCATATGTGTATATACAGTTGTACGGCTTGATAATAAATTCGTTGTTAGCGAGAGTCTCTTCGCTGAAAATTGTGTTCTTAATATACAAGTTGCCTTAATCTGACTAAGTACTTCTCTAAAGCAAAGCATTCAGCAGCTCTGAAAGAGGAATTGTCATTTTAGATTGAGTGGAAATGTTGCAACTTGAATTAACTTAGTCAACTTTCACTTCTATATTGTCATTCACATAGTTAATTAGACAAATAAGTAGGGACTAAGGATGCATAGATATGTAAATTATGATGATATTGATTCACTATTATGAGTGAAACATGGGAACGCTGCTGTTAAAAAAACATTTTATGCAGCTAATGTCATAACAATTGAGAATGTGAAGCCAATATATCCATCCATCTAAGCCCTTTTAACATACGAAAAATGATGTCACATCCCACTGGATTTATCAATTTGAATGTACGTGTGGCGACGCATACATAGAGTGGAATCATCGACCTCTGCAAGTAAGAGTTGGCTTTAGAGTATATTCCTACATGGCTGCCGAAACAAATAGAACATCCAGAACTCATTAATGGCGAGAATAGGAGACCTAGCTCCTCTATTGCGAAACATATTACAGAGGAGACAGGACATAAAATTGATGTTTACACATCTTTAAAACCTATCTATAAAATGAGTTTGAGGCGTATCCTAAAATTTGTGGAAGCCCCCTAGCTGGCATTTAGAAAGTTTAAACCACTTTTATGCATTCGTAAACAATTCATCACATAAAACTTTCCTTGGTAAATTTTGTTTTGATACCATAGTAGATGTACTATTACCTCTGTTATTTGGTTTAGTGGTCTTCATTGTTGTTTTGACCTCCAATATGTCATTTTAACTTGACCTGACTTGTCTATTTTATCGCCTCTTAACCCTTAATTAATTCCATATATATTCCTATGACAAGTCCGTGTGTGATCAGATTGTTAGAAATGTGTTGCGCAAATACACATTACACGATATAGACAAACGTCTTGTTGCTTTATCTAAAATTTATGAAAGGAACTTATTTTATCGAGCCTCGGTGGGAACATCACCACTCACTGAGAAATGCAGGTATATCCAGCTGACGAGTCCCAAACAGGATGAAATGGGCATCCTGGATTCCACTGCTAGTCACCATGCACCAATTCAATACTAAAGGGACTAATTGTTTTAAAAGTTAGATTGTTGTCAAAGCTTATTAATTTCCAACTAGTAGTTGTATGTCAATGAGGAGATATCTGTGCATCGTTGGCATAGCGGTTAGGACGCTAAAGAGGAAAGGTTGGGCATAAGGCTAGCAGCCCCATCCTGTGAAATTAAACTGCTACAGAAACGTCAAGCCACTAATAAATTTGAAGCTCTATGTTTCACTGGGAACGTGAAGGAAAAATAAAGGAAATATCTGTATTATTATTATTGCTCCCTTGGGTTCCTAGTGGAACATAGGGCTTCAACTGCACGTCTCCATTTGCTTCTGTCTTCTGCTTTACTTTTCGCCTGCATCCATGTTAGTCCATATTCTTTCAACTCCTCTTCACACCATCTCCTCCATGTCACCCTTGCACTGACGTCCCACACGCCGCCTCCCTTTCGGGTTCCACTCGAGGGCTTGACGCGCGATGTCACCCAGCAGTCTCCTCAGCGAGGGTCCGGTCCATCTCCACTTTCTCCTGCATATTTGTTGGGCGATTGATTCTTGCTATGTTTATTCCCATAATTCCTTGTTGGTGATTCTTTCCGGCCATCTGATCTTCAGTATAGAGCGAAGCCAGTTGTTAATAAAGGTCTGCAACAGGCTGTTGGAAATATTCTTTGTGACCCGCGAAGCTTCTGATCCGTATAGAAGAAATGACTGACTTGACGTTGTTTGTATTGAAAATCCGACCGAATTTTGTTGTTGATGCTGTCTGAGTTACGAAGATTTCCAGATTGATGAATGTGTTTCTCGCCTTCCCGATTCTCGATTTGACATCCTCGTCCGCTCCTCCTGTAGTTGAGACAATCCTCCCTAGATAAGTGAATGAAGTAACCTCTTTCAAATCCCTCCCGTTGATGGTGATTGACGTTGGGTGTTGTTGCTCTTGTTGGTTGGTTATTATCATAACCTCCGTCTTGTCTATGTTCACCTGGAGTCCTGTCCTGTCTTTGCTGCTTCTTCGATGAGTTTGTCGGTTTTCGCTTGTAAGTCTTCGATTGTGTGTGACATCAAACATAAATCATCCACGTGCGAAATCCAGATCTTCTAGGTTCATCACGTCGGTCCAGGGTATTCCTGTCTTCTCGTTTCCCACTCACCGTCTGACGCATGATCCAGTCCACCACAATTAGGAATATCATTGGTGATAGTAAGCTGATGTTCAAAATGCATGTTGTCGTCTTGCAACCTGAAGAACAGCATTAGAAGCTTGAGGGAGTAATCACGAAAGATCACAAACTCCTACATACACTGCAACTTATTGTTATCCAAGTGAAATCACACGCGTCATAAGACTAGCCGATATCCTATTCATCGTTAATTAACTACATTAGTGAATAACAAAAAGAGGAATAGTTGTTCATTTGAGAATACTGTATATTATGAAAGTGTGAAAGCCATTCATCCAGATGAAATTAAAAAGAGAGAAAAAAGCTTTAAATTAACTTCAGTCACCATTATCATCGTCATACATCACAGAACTGGCCAATTATTTGAACTTGTCGATTACAAATCCTGGATAATTCCTCTTCAAACTGTGAAATTATGAAGAAAGAAAAATAAGTAAAATTCAAAATTATCATTACACCATTTTGATTTTCATAGGGAAAATAAATAAATGTTATCCATAGCTGAAGGCATGTCTAACTAACTAACTGGTTTCAGCATAGAACTTTGCACAAGTTCGAGACTCCAGACTTCCCCCCCCCCATCCATTTGGCACATAAAGCAATAGAAGAGAATAAATGTAGATGATAAACAGAAGTGGGAATTAGAGGAAAAGAAGAGTAATATGGAAGAACAATAGGGTTTTATTGGATATGATATGAAAAATCACGAAGAGTGAACGCATCTACGCCATCATCAAGAACAATTTTGAGGCGTATCGCCACCAACTGTTTCCAGCCTTCATTGGTTCTTATCATGCCGAGGGCTCCAGCTGGTCTACAACTCCCTAGGTGACTGGCTGGTTTAAACTAACTGTTACAGATTTCATCCACCGATTCGACCATCACTAGCTTTTCTTCAACCTAACTGCCTGTCAGCTAATATTGGCCGTCCAGAAAGACAGGTGTTGGCTAGGCATGCGTAACACATGGTGAAGCTTCGTAAATGTGTGCTAACCACCTAATTCACTATTGTTTAACACAAAATAAGTGATTATCATCAACTTGGTGGGCGAAGTTAAAGAACAGCTGTTCAAGAGGAATCGATACCACAATGAATGGCATTCAAATGATGAGTAGAATCAAATACGTCAATTCGGAGGAAAGGAGAGAAACAGATATCAGCATCCATTTATTATAAAGAAAGGTATCCCTGTTTGATTCTCCTAAAATATCACAGCATTCCCTTCCGAATATAGTGTGTTTTATCTTACTTCGTTTCACTAACTTCTAGGTGAGGGGATGCTTACAAAATTCAGAGTCTTCTGAACACCTTGAGCTGCAATCTACGAATGTTTGGCATGCGATTCGCTCCTCTTGTCAAATGTAAAATGACACTACAGGACTGGACTACACTGACTTCTGGTTTGGAAATAGGGAGTGAAGTGGTAGAGCAATTCACTTATTTGGAAAATTGCATCAGCCAGCCTCAGCGGGTTGATCGCTGACGAAATATCAGAACAGATACAGAAGCCTCGTTTCGCATATGCCAGTTTACGCCGTCTCTGGCGTAGACTTGATATCCGGCTGGCTATCGACCAAAGAACATGTGTACTGCTCATCAGTTCGCTCCGTCCTCCTTTAGGGCTGTGAGACCTGGCCACTGAGAGTGGAAGACACGAAAAGACTAGCTGTATTTGATCATAGGTGCCGACATTCTATCTGCCGTGTGAAGTGGTATAATAAGGTGAGCAATATTGAGGTTAAACATTGAGTGCTAGGTAAGGAGGGGAAATCGATAGATGACGATGTGAAGTTATATCGACTGAGATGGTTAGGACATGTGTTACGTATGCCTCCTTCCTCGACGGGCGATGTTAGCTGACATAGGGTCAGGTTGGAAAAGAGCTAGTGGTGGTCAAACTAAAACATGGCTTCATCAGTCAATGAAATGCACAACAGTTAGTTTAAGCCACGTAGGAAGATATAGACTTCTTGGTTGGGGTCCTCGGGACGGTAAACACCAATGTAGGCTGGAGACAATTGATGATATAGCTCAAAATCTCAGTTCTCAATGGGTGGTGCAGATGCATTCACACTCCTTGTCACCTATAATATCCAACAAAACTATATGGTTCTTCCATATTACTATTCTTTTTGCCTCATATCTGTGTTTACTGTCTCTATTATGCATTTCTTTTTGCTTCCTTCTTTTGCTTTTTGTGCTAAGTGTAGTGTGACGACGCGAACTGCTGCACATCGGTGCAGAGTTCTATGTTGAAATCAGTCAGTCAGTCACTACTTTCATCTGATGGTGCGCTAGGATTTTAGTACGTTCGCTTGCCTGAATCACCAATCTCTAGCCTGGCCCCTCGACTTACACACAACTCAATGTTATCTTGATGTAGTATGTTACATGAAGTAGCACACCAAGTCGCGATAAAATAAGGATAATCATATCAAAGTGTTCTGTAAATCTATGTTCCCCTCATGTATATATACTAAGTGTGAATCTAATCAAAATAGATTTCTAAAGGCTACAGAAACACTACCAACTGAAGAGTTTTCTTCTCAGCAAATTCTCCAAACGAATTTCACAGATTTACGCATATTCATGCCTAATTTATCACAGCTTAAGCGTGACATGATTTCATAATTCTGCAGACTCGTTGCTCTCTGGACATTGCTAGTGCTGCACCAGACAGTCTAGATACACTTGTTTCTATTTCCTTACGTTTTTATAGTGACAGTATAGTGTAAGGCGCTGAAAACAAACACCACAATGGTCAAGGGAAGAGAAGAGGGTTTATCCTCTGCACTCCTAAGGATGATGTCACTAGTGGTGTGTATGATTATATGAACGGCTGCTACTTTTGTGTCATTGTTAGTACTGACTATTCTTCATTTTACATTTTCTGTAGTTTGCACACAAACTGGTCAGTATCACTATCAAACTTCTGAATAATCTACTCGAATTTACCAAGCCTTGTAAGATCTCATGCAGAGGTGTCACTTGAAGTGATGACAACCAATGTTGTCTGTCAGGAATGGTGACTGTCTTCAGTTCTGTGTAATTTCAATCATAAATGTGACCCTACTTCAACTACATCAAAATATTTTTTTTAGATTTTTAGATTTACAGCTTGATTCCACACTGTATTTTTGGTACACGTATGGAATTTTCAGCATGGATATCGGTAGCCCAAATTTCGCAGGCCGAACATAGATATCAGGTGTGCGCCGACGTGGGCTCGAACCCCGGACCATGTGCATGGTCAGCGAGAGTCCTAACCACTGTGTCACCGACGCAGGCGGATGGGGAGGAGAAGAGGAAGAAAATGAGAACTTACAAAAGTGACTAGCTTTTTGCATGATTCTCTGTGCTGACCCAATTGTATTGTCTTCTCCTCTTGTTCTTGTATTGTTTTATCAATTAAATGTTGAGTTTGTGAAACTCTGCTTTTGGCCAGCATTACTTGACGTCTATAATCTAAAAGTCGATCAGTTAACCTATCCAAATATCCTGTTCTAGTTCTGATCATCATTAGTTGACTCAATGAACTGTAGAGAATAAAAATATGCAAAAAAAAGAAACACATCCAAGTTATATTTCAGTAATTGTGAAATAAAGCGCGTTACTGTTTGTTCACAAGAGAAATTTCATTGAGGTCTTTGAAGTGAAGACAAACGCAAGATAAGACACGCCCACTATCACTCGTGATCTTGTTAAATATGGTGGGTTGGTGGGTCGTGCTAGAGACTGTAATTAGTCAGAAGACAGGCATCATCCGTTGGATCGACAAAACCGGTGTAACGGCAGAAAATAAAAGAAATGGTGGTAATGGACTTTCTAATTAAGGTAAAACGCATCACATTTATACATTTTTAACCACATTAACGGTTGGCTAGGTCATCTGACGGCCAACAGCAACAACAACAGACAATAATCAGCCAGCATAAATGGGAGAAATCTGAAAGAAACAACCTCTTTTACCTATCGACCTACCTACCTGGGAAACATCGTTTCAACTACAGGCGGACGGAACTGATGAAGATATCAAAGAAAGGATCATCGGGAAAGCAGGGCAAGCTTTCATTTCTCTCAAGTCTATGTGGTGGTCAAAAGCACTCAGCATGGAAGATAAGATCCGGATTTTCAACTCCGATGTGAAGTCAATGCTACTATACGGATCAGAGACTTGGCGCCGAGTCACAAAGGGCACTTCGAACAAACCATACATCTTCATCAACAGTTGTCTTCGTTCAATACTACTCAAGATCTGATGGCCGGTTAGAAAAGATCAGAAATAGAAATCTCTGGGAACGAACCAACCAGGAACCGACTGTGCAACAAATATGCAGGAAGATATGGGGTGGATCGGTCATACTCTGAGTAAAACATCAAGTGATATCACAAGACAAGCCATCGCTCGGGTGGAACCCCAACGGGAAGCGACGAATTGGTCGTCAGTGCGAGGATGACATGGAGGAGGAGGTGATATGAAGAGGAGATGAAATCATGTGGGCAGACGTGGAGCCAGGTAACGTTGGCAGAGAACCAAACGCAATGTGAGACCTGGCCATTGAGAGTGGAAGACATGAAAAGATTAGCTGTCTTCGACTATAGGTGCCTGCGCCCTATCTCCCGTGTGAAGTCGTATAATAAGGTGACCGATGTTGAGGTTAGGCATCGGTCGAGTGGCTAGGTAAGGAGGAGAAATCAATCGACGAGGCTATGAAGTTACACTGATTGAGATAGTTAGGACATGTATTACGTATGTCTAGCCTAGTCATCACCTTCCTCGACGGGGAACGTTAGCTGACATAGGGTCAGGCTGGAAAGGAGCTTGTGGTGGTCAAATTAAAACATGGCTTCATCAGTCAATGAAATCCACAAGAGTCAGTTTAAGCCACGTAGGAAGGTGCAGACTTCCGGATTGCGGTCCTCGGGACGGTAAAAACCAATGGCTGGAAAGAATTGGTGATATGGCTCAAAATCGTTCTCAGTGGCTGGTGCAGATGCATCCATTCCTTGTGACTTATGATTTCCAATGAAACTGTTTTGTCCTTCGTTATTACTATTCCTTTGTCTCACACCTCTGTTTTATGCATTCCTTCTACTTTCTTCTGTTGGTTTGTGTGCTACAAGGAGGGAGTGTGGCGACTTGAACTGTCGCACATTGGTGCAAAGTTCTATGTCGAAAACAGACAGACAGACAGGAGATGTGTGGCTGAAGCCCTATGTTCCTCTAAGAATTAAAAGAAACAATAGTGATAATAAGGTCAGTGGACAACAAACTCTTTTGACTGGTTGACTACCAGCCCACGGCTAAATGAAGGGACGGAAAAGCTGTTCAATGCGATAATTTCCAGACCACAAAGTGAGCCAAATCCAGATTTGGGGAATTAACACTTCTGCCTCTGCAGCAGTCATTTACTTAAAAATGTTGATTTCAATTTCTGGTCGCTTCCCATTAATCTGCATCTATGTAGCCTACGCCACACTAGTATGGAAGATGTGGACTTGACAACTGATTTGTGCTCCAAGCCTCAGAAACTCGAAGACAATCATGAAGAATCCAACAGGTTGGCGGGAAGGGCAGCTAATACAGGATTCTAGTTGAGTATACTGAAGAGACAAGTGACGGAGATACCAAACACTCATCACTATAAATGCGAGAAGTCGATTACTCCACTTACCAGGCCAACATCACTCCGACTACATGCGGGCAAGCACGGGTGAGGATGTTAAAGTTGGAGAAGATCGGAAGTTTGGATATCTCCTCAGCACTTAGCACAAGGAACAGTATATGAACTTTCGAGCCGATGATTTTATATCGTTCAGCAAATTAGCGCGTGAAATCAACAGAAGCATTTTCAGTATACAGCTGCATACTTCCATCAACACCTAGCTGTGGTCGATATTGAAGATTAGACAGCCGGTCAGAAGAGATCAGCAATAAGACATTCTAGCAGTGCAATGAAGCAACCAACCTATGCGACAGCCTATTAACCAACAATTATACCGAAGGAAATGGAGGTGGACTGGATATCCCACTCAGGGGATCTTCCAGTGACATCACAGGCCAGGCCCGTTGGGTGGAATCCGAATGGAAAGTAACGCGTTCGGCGTGAGTCTCACCATTGTGACATGGAGATCATACAACGAGGAAATGAAAGCGAGCTGAAAGTGCTAGAAAAGAAAAGGTTATATTGGGAGGTGTGTTGCTGAAACCCAACAGGTTCTTCTCCTCAGAATACAACATGTGAGCATAGTAATTGTGAATAAAAATTTACCTGGTTGTCAATTTATCTTGAGCTTCTTTAACAAGTTGAATCATTCTATGCAACTCATCCCATGTACATGATTGAATGTCTTGTGGAGCACTCTAAACAAAAGCAGAATATAAATAGGAAATAATTATTCATTATAATAGAGGTTTTTTTGTATTTCCCAATGAATGAAAAACAAAACGAGATTGTTTTTACTGACGTTTCACTATTTAATGCTAATAGCTTTCTCAAAGTAAATAATTATGCTTAAAAACTAAGTGAATATATATATATATACCCACCATACAGTCTGTGAAATTAGACAAAGCAATAAGGCGTAATTTGTCGGAATCGTGTATTGTATGAATTTGCGCAACGCATTTCAAACAATCTGATCCAGTATTATAAATTACTTAAATTAATTCCAGAATGATCCAGCACAGACGGACTTCTCATAGGAATGCATACACTTATGAAATTAATAAAAAGTTAAGAGGTAAGAAAATAAATAGACTTAGGTCAAGTTAAAAGGGCATATTGAAAGTCAAAATAACAATGAAGATCACTAAACCAAATAACAGAGGTAATAGTACATCTGTCCAGGTATATGTATCAAAACAAAATTTAGCAAAGGTTTAATGTGATGACGAATTGTTGCTTTGAACGCATAAAGGTGGCTTGCACTTTCTAATTGCTATCTGGGGCTTCCACGAACTTTAGGATACGCCTCAAACTCATTTTATAGATAGGTTTTAAAGATGTGTAAACATCAATTTTATGTCCTGTCTCCTCTGTAATATGTTTCGCAATAGAGAAACTAGGTGTCCTATTCTCGCCATTAATGAGTTCTGGAGGTTCTATTTGTTTCGGGAGCCATGTAGGAATATACTCTGAAACCAACCCTTACTTGCAGAGATCAATGAGTCCTCCCTATGTATGTGTGTCCACACGTACATTCAAATTGGTTAATACACTGGGATGTGACATCATTTTTCGCATGTTCAAAGGGCTTAGATGGATGGATATATTGGCTTTACATTCTCAATCATTATGATATTACCTGAGTAAAACATCTTTTTTAACAGCAGTGTTTAGTCTTTGTCTAGTTATCAGAGCTGTGAACTGTTGCCTATTGAGCTTA